CGGAAGCCGATTGTTTCCAGCCTACATCTGCGATGGACATCCAGTTAGATCGTTGTGGTATGGAAGTAAAAGTCTCTTGGAAAGTGACTGCAGACGATTACATTCAGCTGTAGGAATCGACAGATAGAATATAACGAACAGGCACTGTTCATCTGGGAAAGGAGGTAGTGTGGATCCTGAAGGTGTAGATAATCGGGAGCTGGAGACGAGGTACGAGCGTCGTCTTACCACTAGTTAGGTAAGACCGGATCGCCACTCAGGGCAATAGCGTAGAATGTATATAGAGCATGGTAATCCTTAGAGGAAAGGCTAGACAACCTTCTGCTTATCTTAGACTTCGATATTGATCACCCCGTGAATCTGATATCGTGAGTCCCGAGCAATAACAGTCTCAACTACTTACCAGTACCCTCACTGGAGAGCCTTGAGGTAGGCCACAGGACACATCGAGTTCGGGACCGGCTGAAACATCTAGGCGGATCTTGGTGGCGCATTTGGAGGTAAAGGAAGCGACCCATCTAAACAGGTTATCAGGCCACCCTTGGTCTCTAAGTCCGAGTACTAGTCGACCGGGGAGTACGCCATCAAATGCACCCTTCACATCAAGCGTCAGGAGGGAGGTTGTAAGCTTACTGTTCAATGCTGTTTCGATGTCATGTACTAGGTAGGTCGTCAAGTCTGTGGCCGAGCGAAGAGACACGGCTCCAAAGTGTTGTGAAGCCACTATCTTGTCCGTAATAGCTATACAAGAGAGGCGGCGAGCGATCAACCGTTCAAGGCCTTTCCCTAAGGTCGAGAGGAGAGCGATGGGTCGATATGAGCGTGGACTGGATCGATCTGGCATATTAGGCTTGTTTAACATGACCAGTATAGCAGTCTTGAAGAAAGCAGGATGGTGACCAGCCTCAAGGTAGCCTCTAAAAAGACTGCTTACCCGAGTTTCAATTAATGGCCGGCCTATCTTCAGGATTGCCGTTGGAATTTCGTCCTCACCGGGTGCTGTATTGCCTGCTTTGATGACCGAGTACTTCATTTCAGCCAGCGTTAAGTCGGGAAGCGTAAGGATGGCAGTGCCGACTGACGGCACATCTAATGCAATATCTGCTACTTCAGAGGCATTTTGCAGTAGGTTCCGAGCTAGGACGTCGCGCTTCTCTTGAAATGTGTTTGCAGGTGGGGCTCCGGGGCTGGTTGAATCTTTGAGAGGCGGGGTGCGAAATGATCCTACCGTTCGGTGCCAGTTGACCATCCCAAACACATCTTTTGCTGTATTAGTTTCATGGATAAACGTGGCGGAAACTAGGATGGTGTCTCATGGGGAGTTCCATTCTAAAACACAACTCGGGGTTAGATCAAGTTCTCAAACAATTAGGACAGGCTCAGAAACATAGGGTCGTTCCATAGGGATTGCGTAGTAATACCGTTCGAGACAGAGCTTAGGGCTGTCCTATTATCTGATGTACATATATACCCAGCGTGAAGGAGTATTCTTCTTCACGCAACGTCTTCTATTTATACTCATACCAATTGTTCACGTACTTATCTCTTCTCTTAAGAAGACCGCCGTTATTGTACCCTTCTCACCTACTACTTATTTTACATTTACTTCTTACGTGAACCCTATACCTAATGCTGAATTTATACCTCCTACTCTTAGGAATCACCACCATACTCCACACCTGTAATCTACTTGTACCAAACTCGTACCCTACGGAATACTAATAACACGGCTCCTTGAGAATTAGCTTGATCTATTTTGTCCTGGAAAAACTTTCGCTTTGCCCTGCAGACAGCTGCATGCAATAGCTTTTTCCCGGCAATCATAGTGTTTTGGTCAGTTGAGCTTCTTCTAGTTGTACGGTAGGCCTGCGCAGCGTTTCTGCAGTCGTTGTTCCACCAAGGTTGTCCAGTCTCTTTTCCAAGAGCTTGCCCTGCAAATGCTTTGAGCGAGGAGATCTAGAAAGTCAGGCTGCAGATTTGCAGGAAGGTCTGTGATTCTTGCTATCTCTGGTTGAAGGAGAGAGAGGAAAAGTCTTTCGTCAAGTGTGCTGAGTTTGATGCGGGATATTGGCTCCTGAAAGCGGCTGTCTCACCGGACTAAAGACGCAATAGGGAGATGGTCAGAGGTGACATCTAGCTCCGGGATTATTGAAGACTCAGCTCCCGCAAGTATCAGTGGATTAGAGGCGAATGCAAGGTCTAAAACGCTACCATGAGTGTGATTAGTCGTGTCTGATTCAGAGATTAAAGTGATGTTGAGTCTATCTGTCCACTCAATAAACGGTTCTGCTAGGGGACTGGTAGTTTGGGATGATGCTTGCCACCGCGTATGCCTGAGGTTTAGGTCTCTGGCGACGAAGACTCGGCTCGAATGGCCTGGAAAGGTGAGATTGAGGAGGGCTCTGACGGCCTCACCGCCATTGTTTGAGCCAGCCGGAGCGTTGTACACGTTGTTGGAAATACAGTTTCCTGCTTTTCTTTCTATCAACCAATGTGGTTGCATGCATCTTGCCTGAACTATATTTCTGAATTCAGGCAGGAGCCCACATTTCTGATCCAATTGGACTCAACGTTAGAGTCTGCTTGAATCCCATTCTTCCCGAACAAATCCAGTCATTGGTTTGTTCGTACTTCTATTGCGTGACCCAGTATTCTCAGTCAGTGGATAATTATTTTCTGGTCTGGGGTCCCACTTATTTCTGCAGTCGAGTCGGTTCCGGGTAACCTCTATTTCTTATAATTCCACTGTATATATCATAATACCTGTAGTCTATTAGTCAATTAAGCAAACTGAACTTCTTCTACGTTCTCAGGCAATTCTTACTCCGAAGTCTTCTCTATACTCTAACACACGTTCACTACTAAGAGGCTTGCTCCAGATGACGCGGTAACCTCCAAGAAAAGGAGATCTCTCGCGGCTGTACTTATTATGAGGAGGAGCCGTTGTTGACATACTTGTAGTCCAGCTCCTTTGCGTATATATGTGAGTACTCGAGGCCGGGATGACCAGTCATCCGTGGGGGTAAAGCACTCATAGTTAGAATTGAATTTAGTGATCTGACATTGTCGATCAGTGTAGATTTAGGGTTCTTGAATGAGAACGATGTCGAATCTTTCTTCATTCGCAAAGGTAAGTGCAAGCTCGTGTGAAGAGGTGTAACGGCTAAGAATCCAATATTTTCCTGTAGCCAATACTGGCAAGTACAGGTGTACAACTACCAGGGATTGTGCAGGCGCAAAAGCCCCGTAAAAGAAACTAGAACCTCCGAAGAAGGGACCAGAAAAGTCTCCACGTGAGAAAGACTGATACTCAAGCTTAGAGAAGCTGCTAGATATGCTACCTTTAAATTAGCAACTGGAATCATCTAGAAGTGAGCCGACCTTGGAAGAAAGAACCTGGAATGTAATAAATCTGTATATATAACTGGATTGGCATTTAGAAATTATCTCTCCATAGTTGAATTATAAAATACCATCATCCATACAAATGCTCCTTGATTTCTATAGTTGATCTGTGACAATGTGATAGTACCAATGTACGCGGCGAATTGAATTCTTACGTAAATTGAATGAGTCATTTCTAACCTTCGTGTCAGCATAGAGTGGATTGAGGTAACTTGGAACCTTCTTTGAAAAACTCTAGCAGTGCACACGCGCTGTTCACCTGTGTAGAGATTATCATCTCCATGCTCACTTTCATAGATCTGTAATCAGAATTATAGTACTAACATTAATTCATGATGAGATGGAGGGGTGGTTAATTAAAACAATCAAATTAGGAAGAGCTTCCCCTGATATAACTACTCATGTAAAAAAGTCGTTTAAGGATATACAAGAGAGTCATGTAGATAAAGACAAGGACACAGTCATTAATGCGAGGATATTGGCAAGAACTGATTACGATTAATTCCGGCAGGCAAATGCTTCTACTATTGTTTATAATAGTTCAGCGTGAGAGAGATTTACTCCTCACGCAACGTCTTCTTTACTTATCATTTACAATACGTTTGTTCACCCAACTCTTCTTCGGGAAGTCCATCTATCCATTGCCCAGTTCTTCATCAGCAAGACCCACGTGTAACATCTATTGTAACTATTTGCCCATTTGTCTTTTCCTAGAGAAGACCTATCATCCCTTTGACCCATTTATTATCTTCACTTCCCACCTAGATCTTCACTAGGCTATACAATGCACCACGTTGAACACTGTAAAACCCTCATCCTTGAGACTCAATCTGGTTTTCATCTACCCTCGATTCCAGTCATACAGGCTTACCGCCCTAGCTTCATTCCAAAGTTCTTCTTCTCAACGCTCTTGATTGTATGAGGAGCTTCAGGCAGGATCTCTAGCTCATCTCACTCCATCCTTGACCACTTGCAAATCCTACACGAAAGCAAATGTCTCAAGCCCAATGCCAGACATCTCAGTGTCGACTACCGCTTGGTTTTCGTCCTCTCAGCCGTCACGGATAGGCGGTAGCTGTTTCGAAGATCTCGTCCACTTTTTCCTAGAGCGTGGGACCCAAAAATCCAGTACAATGTGGCTCCTTTGGGATTGGAGTCTCTACTTATAATCCCAGATAACAAGGAAGAAGATATGACTAATTCCGAACGAAGCAAATGACTCGGGAACGAAATTTGAAGGGATCCGATCTATGGAGCTGACTGAAAAAAGAATTGGCTAGCTTGGCATGGTCACAAATTGCAATGGGCAAGATAATTCTGGGCCGAAATTTCTAGCACTACTGCCGGGGAAGATGTCTAGTTCTCCCTACTTTTGGTCTGCTACAAAGATATCTGCTCGGCTGATTTTTTGATAGATAAGTCAAGTCTATAAATCCCTGCCATACCCCAATCTATCAAGGTCGCCAGTTCCTACCCTACTCTCAATAACCTGCATACAATTCCAACAGTGGAAATAATCCAGTTTACCAAAGAAAAAGTCCCCAACAACGCGGAATCCCTATACGCTGAGCAAGGAAGTTTTACCCCCAATCACAATGAAGTTCATCAATGTAACTTTGATCACGACAACTATTAGTCTATTCACATCATTTGTTGCGGCTCAAAACAGCGAAGATTTTATATTGTTTGCATGTATTGGTGTCGATTTCTACAAAAAAAGTGTTCAAGATTCTGCTGCAAAATCACACCGACTAGGTCGGGAAACAATTAATGGCTACCCTACATTTTATAACCTTCGCGGCTTGCCTGGATCTAGACCACACAAATTGTTTCCAATGATTCCTAATATTCATGTTTACAATGGCGGTAAGCAAAATTTAAATCCTAATCTGTATTTTTATTAAATCTTCATAAAGAGAGTGACCTGCGTTATTTCTTAATTGTGGATAGTGAAGGCGATTATCAGGGCATGGTTTACCAAACGAGATCAAGGTACGAGCCATGCACTAGAGTTACTCATGAGTTTATGAGGTGATAAATGATGTCTTGGAGTCTGGACCTTAGTACTCTACTTTTACAGATCAGTGATTCTAAAACTAAATTGTCATGAAGCAAATGGGTGTTAGATTGTAACAGATAAACTTATCTTAGCTTATTCAGGGAATAAAAAATTTAAAGAGTCATTCAGATAAACCCAAACGGGGTCGTGAGAAGAATTCTTGTAAAGGCAAGAGCTTATGAGGGGCTTATTGGCAGAAGATTTAGGGATCATAATTTGTGTTCAAAACTACCAACATCTAGAAGGTAGAACACGCTTTTTTATATGCCCTTCTGTTAAGGTTGTGAGTTAAATGGGAACATAGTTACTTGGAATGTGTCACAATATTTGTTCCGATGGTTTGATATTTGGTAATGTGATTGCTGGCAGGTGTCTGATACTTTTCCGATGTTGTTCATAAGACAGAACATAGACTAATTATATACTCTAATATGACCCTTGTCGTTGTCTATGCTCTCTCTCCTGACTTACTGCCAACAGCGTGCCTAGGTAAAACTCTGCAGCTCATGAGTCCATCTCTCATGAGAGGCATCTGCTGTTCCGGTGGCTGGCGCGCGCGGTCCGAGAACGCGTGAGGATCCTGAATTCCAAGTCCGAGCGAAATGCCAAGTCTCATGGCAAGCGAGCCGCCGAGTTTAAGGTTACATCAAGAATGCACCCCTCGCAGTCTTTGGTCACAATTCGGGCGGCCAAGCACCTCACTTCTTCCCTACTGTATTCTGATAGTTTACTTGTCATGTATCATTGATCGTTACATTATCTGGATTAGAGAGGATTTAGAATGTTAATAGAAATACAAGTTTACACCTAGTCTCAAGCTCTACACACATAAAGATTGTTGTAGTCGGAGCCACGAGACAACCGTGAATTTCACAGTCAACATTTATCATTTTATTCTTACTAACGTGCACAAGCAACCTCACGCGTCGCTGCAATGCCTCAATCACTTACGTGTAATATCCCAGCTGAGCGATCCTGAACCTAGCTGTTCAGGAACGACAGCAATCTAGTCCATGGTTCGCGCCTGTGGTTTGTATACACACCACTGCGTCGCTCCAATCGTTACCATACAATGTCTCAGCTCCGCAGTCCTTAGTCCATTACTCAGGAGCGGAAGCAGTTGTATAGTTCCGACAGTGCGCTAGGTCCACATGTACCTCAGGGCGCTATCCCGTAATTGTCCGGTAATGTCTAACCGCTTATGGCTAGCGCACGTGGTCAGCAGAACCTTCACGCCGCTACCCCAATTGTTGCCTTGCAATGACTCAACCCGGCGCTCCCAAGTCCGAGACTCAGGAGCGGCAGCGGTTGTATCCATGGTCAACGCACGACGTGCATATGCACCTGTCGGCGCAGAGCCGGTCATTGACGAGCAATATCACAACATCTTCTGAGGTAGCTGGATTCTGGCCTTATTTTCTCAAAATTGTATCACTGAATATTCTAGGATTCTGCCAATGGCAGAAAAACCAAGAAATACACTCCACATAGTGCTCTATTGTTTCTCTATTTATCCTCGAATTACCTGGAAACTTCTTCTTTCTCTCTCAGTTATCATTATACTTATGCGTTATAACCCTGGCTATCACCTACTGTAAGGATTATTTGCTTCAAGCTTAATTGAGTATATACTTTGAGTCTTCTATCCAAGCTACTATGACAACATCGTGGATCTTAGCACTGGGTTTTCACGGACGATGACGAAGGCTAGGAAGAGGACAGAGGCTGATTATGAAGACAAGATATTCAGATTAATGATTAGATTCTAAAATATGGGTTATTGACAAGACAAAAAGATATAGTACGTTTGTAGTCCTAGAGCTTCCTTAAGTACACGGGCATCAATACTATTACCAAGGGTGTAGTAGTCCACAGCCATGATATAGCAGCTAACTAGTACTCTGAATGGTAAGTGTTACTATCACAACACTGTGACCATTACAATTCCTGAATCATGTTATTGTATGCACGTCATGACTTGGTTGCCTGGGTGCAATGCGACATCCCAGAGATGGTTTGTGAGATGGGTACCATTTTATTATTAGGATATGACCTAAGTTATGAAAGAAAAGAGGAGATATATCATGAATATAAAGGATGTCTTGGTGTGAAGGTTATGAGTCTAATTGGAACATAGTTACTTGTCACTGGTATTGTTGTAAAGGTAAGAGCTTACGGAGGTTAATTGGCAGAAGGTTTACGGATAATTATCGATGAATCAATGTGAACTACTGATATATTTGATATTCAGAACTATGAGGATTTAGGAGGTAGAAAGCGCTAATTATATACACATCTGAGGTAGCCAGACTCTCGCCTTATTTACCCAAAATAGTATCACGGAATATTCTAGTCTCCTCCATCTGGTGGTACAATCTAGAGACACTTTCTATACAGTGCTCCATTGTCCCTTTACTCATCATGGAGCCACCTGGAGAGTTCTTCCTTCACCCTCAGTGATCATTACCCTTGTGCATCGTAATCCTGGCCATCACCAGCACAACAATCCAACCTCTGCACTACTTCATTTCCGCTTCGGTCCACACGCCTTCACTCATTTCTGACTATTACACAACAATAATTGGTAGGACAACATCATTTATGCAAGAAAATGGGCAGGTATCACTAATGTGTAATTCAGGCTAGCAAATGCTTCCAACTCTGAACATGATTATTATATGAGATATGATTAGATTTATAATACAGTTAAGATTGAGACTAAGGCTATGGAGGACTTTATGAATTTAAATAAAGACTCTAATTACATTTTATAAGATTTTATTTTGAAATAAGTGACAAGATTGATATGTGAAAGTACTTCAATTAATCCTTAGAATACTAAGCTAAAGAGTGTTATGGTTGGACTTGCTAGGGCACTTGGAGGTAGACTGGTGGAAGAATCAAGAGTCACGTGACAATGTATAACAGGGATGTAGGCCGGACTAAGGTGGAGCCGCAGTCGAGCTTGCCTCAAGCTCGTAGCCCCCAGCACTTCCTTTCTCTTTGTCAGAACTCCTACCTACGAATCGTAGCCTAATTGTTAAAGTTATGAGCTTGAGCGAAGATGGAGGTTGTAGCTGAATCAGTGTCGGCGGTTAGACCGATGCAGTAAGTCTTGTATGAGGTTGTGAGAGGAAGATCCGAGTGGAATCAATTTTATTTAGATGTATGGTTCAGAGTAAAGCCGAGATAATAGGAGTGAGATTGCGTGTTTGCATATCTTATCAACTCAGGTTTTTGACCAGTATTTATCAATCTCCATGGATCGTAAGTTATGATCCCTGTAGATGTAGATCTATGTACATACACATGTATGGGCCAGGAATATAAAGCTAAATACATGTGTGTCGGTAATAGATATGAAAAAATTACAAGGAGGGCAAGACTCAACACCTGTACGCGGTGTCCTCTACGAACCTGGGAGTGAAATATTCTCCCCGAGCCAAGTTCAGTCAAACTTTGCAATACCGAACAAGTTGGCCCACGAGGCAATGATTCAAAATTCTCCACCATGTCAATCTTTCACTCCCAACGAAATCGATTCCTACCTAAGCCTCATCAAGTTTACAAGTACGACCTAGTACATCCTCATTTCAATGACCACACCTCTTTTCGACTTTCTTTGGCCTAAGCTGGTCGCCAGATACACGCCCACACCGATATTTACACCCGACGGAGGAAGCAAAGCGTGGCGCACAAATCTGGAAGACAATTCCTTGGGATGGATGTGAGAGGGATCAGGACAAGTTCACAAGATGATGCAAAGGATGGATACGGTCTCAACGGGCGTGGAATTTTGAGTTTTGGAAAGGAGTTTTTACAAAATGAGCTTTGTACGTGCCAAGTCTTCGGCTGCGAGAGTGCGGGCGACACTATAAAAACTGCCATGGCTAGATGGTGCGGTGGTGCATCGTCTTGGCCGGTCTGCCAAGTAGAGTCTGGATAGCTTGGACACATATCCCACTTGAGACAGTAGATCGCTGGTTCAAATCCAGCAAAACACAACCACTTTTCTCGCGGCGCTGGTATGCATGGATGACGAAGGCGTGCTTGGATAACCTAAGGTTTCGAAATTCCCTTTGGTGGGTACTTACAGAGGAGGGTCGACTGTTTGTGTAAGCGAACGTACCTCATAATGGTATTTGCAAATGAAATCCAGAGGATGAGTGTCTCTAATGTCAAAAGAGTCATCCCACAAGTATACATAGCACCGGTCATGTGTCAAAGCTAGATAGCTGAATACACATTAAATGATTCAAAAAAAAAAAAAGAGAAAATTATAACCTGCATTTAAGACATAGTCATCCGCTGGAATGCTAGTGTGAAATAAATGCTAATGCGCATTAAACTTTCGGGGAAGGATGTACTGATAACAGTGATATAGAATGGGGAATTTGATAGTCAAATTAGTCGGACTTACTAATTAGTTATTCTTGGCATTCCAAGATATATCATATTTCAACACTAATGTCCAGATACAACTTCTTCTTAGAGACCCATATCATCCTCAGGTCAGTCGTAACATAAAAAAAGACCTTTTCCTCCGCTGGGAAGCATTAAATCCACGTTCGAATCAAAAGCTCCGACCTGCCTTGAGCAATTCGTGAGTACCTTTGTAGAAAGCCTTTCATTTTCTACAGCCAGTAGAGCCTACACCTTACTGTCCCAGAGCAAGCTGGAAATCCCTATTCATTGTACTCTACCTGCTTTGAGCAATTCGAGTAAATTTCAACCCTTCCAGCAATACAGGAGCACCCATTTTTCGACCATTTCACCTGAGGCCCTCATGCCATCCATCTAGAAAGACTCCTATCCGGTAAATATAATGACAGACAGCTTTACCCCAGCACAATTAACAGTTGTGCAAGCTGCTGTCGCCGCTGCCGTCAAGGTTGCCCTCGAGGCTGACGGAGTAGAGAGAGTCTCCAGAACTCCTGCACAAGATGAAGTACGAAACACTCGAGCTCTAACAGCAG